GATTCATGTATGGAAATAATTGTAAAAAAATTACCCTCGCTGACACGCAGCCAGCCAAGGCCATTGGCACAGTGTACATAAAGCTAGTGGTCTGGATAAGTATCCCGGTGGCAGCCACCGCGAGCCTGGGATTAGGCAAATATCCGGCCAACACCGTCACAATCTCGTACCACCACCACTCTAAACAAATTCCAATGCAACTAGGCACAGCCAACTTAAGCAACGGCCCAACCCCACGACACACATCACCAATCCTGGCCTTCCATTTCCATTCCCACCTCCCATAGGAGTACACGTACCCCATCATCAGCAGCATCATATGCAGATTTGTTAATACCGAAGCCATCGCCACCCCGGGAACCCCCAAACCCATTACCACCACAAGAAAATAATTCAGCGGCACGTGAAATATCACAGCCATTAAAGTACACCACATTTGTGGCTTAGTAACCCCTTGTGACCTTAAATAAACCCTCAAAGGTTGTAACAAAGTGTTGGTCAACAGGTCAGGAAGGGAATAGATACAATACTTAGCAGCCATTAAGGTAATGTCTTTGTCTTGTCCCATGAAAATCATTATTGATTCAAGATTGATCCAAAGAACACTTATTGGAATGATGGCCAAGAAAAGTATGAAAATCATACGGTGGAGAGAGACCGAGAGAAGATCCCAGTTTTTGCTGCCATAGGCTTGGCTGCAAACTGGCTCAAGCCCAGAAGCCAATCCTACTAAAACAGAATAGCCAGTGATGTTTGTGAAGCCAATGGAGAGGGCACCTCCGGCTAGCTCTAGGCTCCCAAGCCAACCCAAGAACAAGACAGAAACCACGGCTCGGACATAGACTAAAAAATTCATTGCTGTTATTGGCAGTGCCATTGACCATAGTTCCTTCAGCTCCTCCACCACCTTTTCAGAAAAACACAAAACATTAGAACTCGTGTTCGAGTTGAAATTGAGATACAGGTATAAGTTCTTCCATTCGACAAAAACATCTTTCAAAATTGATTGTACAAGTTATAAGTCTCCTCACCGCTTAGTGGAAGATAGTTAGGAATGCAGTACTATGACAGGATTAAACATAGGTGCTGTCTAACCCACCTTAATACGTGCATATTTGGTACGATTAGACAGAACNAAGGTTGAACAACACAAAACCAAATCCCACAGACGGATAAAACAAAAATAATTGTCTAGCCTCAAGTTATAGAACACCTGTATGGGCCACCATCACTTTCTTTGCCTGCACAAAAAAATGTGCATTCACCACAGAACCCCATGTTTTAAACCAAAATTTTTTAGACACCCCACCCCCACTACCAACCCATCCCCGTAGGGCAGACAACGCCCTAGACAACATTATCAATGTTTTGATTTTCTAAAACTAATAGTCCTTTTTTCTCTTCATCAGTACTTTTATTGCTCATTTCCAAGCTAGTCAGCTTAGAGGCTTTCAAAGTTTCCACTTCCCAGTCTATGCACTTGAATATGACATACAGAATCGAAATGACGCAGGCCACTTGAGCCGACAGAAGTCCATACCACAGCCCGCTGAACTCAACCTTGAGCCAGAAGGCCAAGCCGACAGCCACTGGAGTGCCCACGAAATAGAACGAGCCAAGATTTATACGGGCACCCACAACTGGCCTGGCTGCGCCACGTAGAATGCCACAGCCAGTGGTTTGCGGACAATTCCCGAGCTCGCACAAGCCGACAATTGGCAAAACGGATGCAACTAGAGATTTGAGCATTTCGTCTTTGGTGAAGAGGCCGCTCCAACTTGTCCGGAATATCGATGTCCAAATAACATTGACAATTCCAATGACAAATGCACATGCCAGGGCGACCATCGCAGCCAGCTTCGCTTTGTATGGCTTCTCAGCTCCCAACTCATTTCCCACCTGCATAGAGAAGCAATAACCGAAATTCAATCAAATTTAAGTTATATACGAATAAATCATCCTATAGGAAAGAAGCATAGAAAGTCCACTATCAGGAATCAGGAATATGATGCACAAAGACTATGATTTCCCCGTCTACTACATAGTAAGATGATGAAATTAAAATGAGAGAGTTCCATGCTGACATCATAAATGAAACGGAAGAATGTTATGTACACTTGATCCGTTTTTGGTTAGTTAAAATAATTAGTCATTTCTGACAAATTCATTGAATTAACAACAAAAGAGCAAGA